CACACACACACACACACACACACACACACACAAACACACACACACACACACAAAAGAAAAGAAAAGAAAATAGGCAGATACCAAGAGTTAGATACAAAAAATCAGATATGAATAAATAATAGATGTTTTAAAACATCTGCTTAGCAGTCTGCTTAGCAGACTGAAGCCACATGGGAGGTTTGATTCTCAGCCCACCCTAAACAGCTGGGTGTACTTGTATGCACTCATAATTGTAGGTACTCAGGATGCTGAGCAGGAGGACTGGAACACAGCAGACCCTGACTAAAACACCACACATACATACGTACATATAAAAAAAAATATATATATATATATATATTTTTAAATAACAGTTTGTTGGGAAAGTCATGACATGTTTTTCCATGTTTTCCTATGCAAAAATAAATCATGACTTTTCTGACTGCCCGATAGATGTCAATACAGACATAAATAAGAAAAATCAACATAAAGAATCAATTCTAGATGAGGCCTAGAGGTAGTTTTAAGAGAATCATTAAAATGGAAAGCAATTCTGAAGAATTTTTCCAGAATGTGTTGGGTCATTGCAAAAGTCATGCATCTTTGCATGGAAAAACACAGAAAAAAATATGTCATGACTTATTTGATGACCCAGTAATTGAGAATGATAAATACATGACAGATATAAAAGAGAAATTACAAGACATATAAGGTAAATTAGGAAATTCTAACACTTATCTCTCAGGAGTAAAAATGAAAAGAATGACAGAGGACCATTACTTAAAAGAATAATTACTGAAAATTTTTCATAATTGAAAAAGGCATAACTTCTCATATGGAAAACATTTTCTGAATTCTTAACAGGATAAACAAGAATACATCTTGTGATTTAGAAATTTACAATCAGAAGTACTGAGCCTAACACAATGTTCAATATATAATAGTTTTTGATAATTAAATTTTTTTAATCACTAGAATTTATAGCACTAGGTTTAGAATCAAAATGTCATGTAATTCAACCATTCTTTCTTTTTTAAAAAAATATTTATTTTTTCAGATAGAAACAGAGAGAGAGAGAGAGAGAGAGAGAGAGAGAGAGAGAGAAACATGCCCATCAGGGTCTTCATGCCATGACCCTCCTCCAGTCTTAAGCTGACCCTGATCTTGGGCACATACCTGCATGCCTGGCATGCTCAGGAAGGTCCTGGGACATGAACCCAGACATTTTCCCATCTGGATCCAGTTGCATTACTGTTGTACTATGGCATGGCACCTACTTCATTCATTCTAATGATGATTGAATGCTGGGAGACAATTCTCTGTGAGTCTTTCATGTTTCTGCATGTCTTGAATTAGCTTTTGTTCCAGACTATGTTTTCAGTGACATTTGTATAACAAGCAGCCTTAGAAGTTTAAAATATTTTCTCCCTCTAGGACAGATGAAGTTTTATTTTCTATCCAGTAGTTAGAGATAATGTGTCTTCCAGGGCAGAATTTGGGCAGGGTTACTAGCAGCCCCTTTAAGAGACTGGAATTTCCCATGCTCAGGGGTTTCCCAGCTAGTAGGCAAGCCCACTGTGTGTACCCCATCCACCTAAGCCATTCAGCGTCGCTCCCAGAACTTAGTGAGCAGGGACCATCAGTGTGAATATCCAGCTCATGTAAGTCACCTTAGCTATAAGTAATGTAGTTCTTTGTCTCTGATCCCAGAGTCTTGTGTCTTCTGCCAGCATTTATGAAATTGGCAGGTCAACTTGTTAGTTTGCAAGTAGAGTAAAATCAGAGATCCTCTGTTGTTGTTGAAATTGAATACCCTATACAATGCTGCTGCACCTCAATTTGTTTGTTCTGTTTATTTGCTTGCTGTGTGTATGTTGTGAAGGATGAGGTTTGGCAGACTATGAAACTGCACTCACACAAAAATAAAAAGATGGCATAAGTAAACCTCCAGCTACCTCATTGCTATAAACTACATGTCTGCTTTCTTCTTTTTGTCATTTAACTCCACTCGCAACTTTAATTTTTCCTCATTAAAGATTTATTAGCCTGTCTCTGCAGCAAGGCTATAAACTCACATAGGCAAGGACAATTATCTCCTGATATCATCCACTACTGTTAGGCTGTTTACGCGTGTAACTAAAGCTTGGGCTTTGGGATCAGGATCTGAATCCCCATCTAGTCATACATACCCTGTGAAGCCTTGTGTAAGTTAATTAGCCTTTGAAACTTCAGTTCTTCTCAGCTGTGAAAATGGGGTACCATAAAATATTTTCCTTGGAGTTGTAAAGTCACATGAGAAAATCCAAATAAAGTCTCAACACATTGTCTAGCACATAACAGGCATTACACATGTAACTTGCAATAGGAATTCAAATAAATCAAGTCCTATTTTTTTTTTTTGGAGAGATTTTTGCTATAGGACGTGTGTGCTCGCCAGACAGACAGAGAGACAGAGAGACAGAAAGCGAGAAATCACCCCCCAGGGAGGATGGCCATGCCGCAATCCCTTCTCCTCCATTCTTTTCTTGGGATCTTGGGCACGCACACACACGCGCCCAGCGTGTTTTAAGTCACCGGGTCCAGACGCAAACCGCAGTCGACTACGTGGGAGTCCAGCGACATAGCCATTACTCCAACTGCTGGTCCCTCAAGTCCTATTTTCTATGCATTTTTCCCAGTTCCCTAATAGCAGCAGGCTTCTGAGATGCAACTAACAGAAGTCTCAGGAATACATTCACGTTACAAAGGACTACTTTTTGACTTAACGGTATCATCTATAGAAATTTATCTTAAAGAAATAATAAGTGATTCTTGTACAACTCTTCATTAGTGCTATTTGTTAAAGTAGAAACAATTAGGAATAACCTAAATATCTAATAATAAAGCCTTATTACTGAAATCAATCACTAAATAGTCAAGGGAATACTGTGCTGTCATCAAAAATATTATGGTAGATAGATATTTAATGATGGACATTCACTATTCAGTGAAAGAAGGAGGATCCAGAACATATATGAATGTAACTGCAATTCTGTTTCAAATATATATCCAATCATAAGAAGATACCAAAAGGTTATAGGTTAAAATGTTATACTAGATTAAGTTAATGTACACTTCACTGTATCTTCTTATTTTCTAGAATAAGCACATATACTAGTAAAAATCCAAATAGTAACTATGAAAAACAATATTAAGTTTATCTAAAAATATAATTTAGTCAGGAAAAATGATACCAACAAATGATAATGTCAAAAAGTCTTGAGACCAGCTGTTAACATAATGGCTATGTCACTGGACTCCCATGTAGTCAGCCATGGTTTGTGTCCCAGACCTGGTGGCTTAAAACTCATGCCAGGCACATGTGCGTGCATGGCCAAGATCCCAAGAGGAGAATGGAGGAGAAGGGATTGCGGTGTGGCCATCCCTCCCCCGGGGGGGGGGCGTGATTTCTTGCTTTCTGTCTTTCTGTCTCTCTCTGTCTTTCTGGCGAGTGCACGTGCCCTATAGTAAAAACCTCTCGAAGAAAAAAAAAAAAGTCTTACAAATTTAAAAATTCTTTTTAAAATCCCAAATATGCTATCTTACTTTATAAAAAGAGCAGAAAATATGAGAAAACATATACCAATCCTAGTCAACTACTGACATTTACATTCTTTGTTCTGATGATGAACAAAGAATTTTTTAAAAAATTCTATCAACAGGACCAGCAGATGGCATGGTGAAGGTGCTGGACTTCCACATGGTCAACTGTGCTTTGAGTCGTGGCTCTGGCAGCTTGAAAATCCACCAGGCGCATGTGTGTGTATACCCCAAATCCTGAGAGGGGAATTAGGGAGAAGTGACTGTGGCATGCCTATCCCCCAGGGGGATGATTTTTCACTTTCCCTCTGCCTGTCTGTCTGTCTCTCTATCTAATGAGCACAACATACTATGGCAAAAACCTAAAAAACAAAAAAGCTACCAATATCAGGATGCAACTCAACTCTTTTCATCCAAGAACCTCACTACCTCCAAATAACAACCAGGAAACTTTAAGTAGTTCTCATTTCATTTTAAAAACAACCGCATTGTAAAGTAGTTCAATCTTTAGATGATCTTCGGATTTTTGGAGTCAAGACATTATTTGATTACCTGGCCTTCTCTGTGCTTCCCATGCACTGATGAAGGTCAATGAATTCCATCAGCTGTTTCTGTAGCATCACATCTTTTCCCTCAATTTGAGTAATAAATTTATGCTGTAAAAGATCTGACACTGTTGGGCGCTTTTCATAATCTTTAGTCAAGCACCTGCACTGACAAAAAAGAACATGAAATTATTGGGTAAGTTAGAGCTTTTGTTTTTAAACTGTTACTCATATGCCTAAAAAATTAACACAAGGGAGCAAGGCTCTTCATGAATGCTCAGCCCAAACACCTATTAAAAAATATGAAGCTGAAATATGGTGACATGAATGTTTGTGAAAGTGCACAGATCTGTGAGTTCCTATGCTGTCGGGATACCAACTTTAATCCAAATACCACTCCCCTAGTCTCCCAGCAAGCATTATTGGGTTGTAATAATTAAACTGTCTCCACTGCAAAGTGTCCTTTACGAGCCAGTAGCTAAACGACAGAGAAGTCATCACAGTTTTAATGCGTATATAAAGTTAAAATAAACTTTGTGGTTTCCCTTCACAAATGCCTTTAAAGGCTTCTTCTCTATTGATCTGTTTCCTCTACGCGATAAAACTGCTAACCCATGTGAGAAGGCTAATGTGCTGAAGGTATTTAAATTCCACATCTGCAGATGTTCTTTGAGGTTGCAGGGTAGAGGTACTAATGAGTATCACACCTTTTGATGGATCAACCTGAGCATATTTGTGAGAAAGGATAAAGCTAGTGAGACCACTGGAAACAACATCACAGGAGGAACATTTGGACAAACTAATGAGTTAATTATCTATGACAATGTTTTCAAATATGTGGAAAAGGGATTCCACTACTCTCAGCGGTCACAGGGCGCAAAATACCTAGGACTGAGTGGTGGAAACAAGAGAAGAACAAGCTTCAGGTCAGTATAAGGAAGAGCTTTCCAGGGGTGAGGTTTACCTGGGCAAAATGAACTGCACTAGGAATAATTATTATTATTTATTGCCAGAGAGCATATGCATGAGAGAGACAGAGAGAGGGAGAGAAAGCACTCTCCCCATGGGGACTGTTCATGCCACAATCCTTTTTCCTGCATTTCTCTATCTCTACAGGGCTGGTCCTGGGAAGTATTATATTTATTCAGAATGTTAGACACTGAATGAATGGCCACCGAGTGTACAAGCTTCAGAAGCATTTAAGCTCTGGGTGGGAACTTGGACTATACAACTTCTCAAGATCTTTCCAATCCTGAGATTCAGAGGATATTGATTATGAAAGAACCAGACTGTTGTTAGGGATATTGAAAATGAACAAATAAACAAACAAAAGGAGAAGAAAAATCCCCTTTTACTTGAGCAGTGCCATTTCCTGTATTTTAAACTTTTTAAAAAATCTGCCAGAGACACAGACGGAGGGCAGGGAGTTGGAGAGAGAATGAGAGCGAGAGCGAGAGCGAGAGAGAGAGAGAGAGAGGGAGGGAGCACTTTCCAATGGGGCATGGTCACACCACAATCCCCTCGCTTCCATTTCTCCATCCTGCTGGGATATTTTGGGTGTGAACACACACATATACTTGCACACACACATGATATCTGGTGTGTTTCTCAAGCCACCAGGGCTGCGATTTGAACTATGCTTGGGCTTGTGGGATCCAGTTTTCTTAACCACTGGGCTATGGGGCCACCGAAAGCACTGTTATTTCTTTTTTGTGGGGGAGATTTTTTGCTGTAAAGTACATGCACTCACCAGAGACAGAGAGTCAGAAAGTGAGAAATCACTCCCCAGGAGGGATAGCCATGCTGCAATCCCTTTTCTTCCATTCTTGGGATTTGGGGCATGCACACTCATGCACCCAGTGTGAGTTTCAAGTCACTGGGTCTGGGACTTGAACTGTTGTCAGCTACATGGGAATCTAGCAATGTAACCATTATGCCATCTGCTGGTCCCAGCACTGCTATTTCTAATCAGAATTGTTAGTCCTCCTGAGATAATCATTTGGCAGTTTATTTCACCCCTTTGGGGGCTTATCTAAAAGGTATACCCCAGGGTTGTTAAAATCTGCTAAGGAGTAAAGATGACCATGTCTGAACATAAGAACAAGTGCTCTAAGTTTTCATTTATTTATTTTTATTCATTTATTTTATTTTATTTTTGAGAGGTTTTTGCTATAGGGCATGTGTGCTCGCCAGAGAGACAGAGAGAAACAGGGAGACAGAAAGCGAGAAATCATCCCCCAGGGTGTATGGCCACACCGCAATCGCTTCTCTTCCATTCTCCTCTCGGGATCTTGGGCATGTTCTCACATGCGCCTGACGCGAGTTTAAGCCACCGGGTCTGGGACTCAAACCGCAATTGACTACATGGGAGTCTAGCGACATAGCCATTATGCTAACTGCTGTTCCTAAGTTTTCATTTATTGATAGTTTAACAGAATACATCAATTTCTGATATCTATAGCAATTGTATCTTAGTTTTCATAAGAATCACATATAAAATTATTTTATTCAAATAAATTAATCAAAAAGCGAATGCATACCAGACACTCTGCTAGACATTGGCATTACAGTGCCAAACAGGCATACCCAGTGCCTAGAGTTGCTTACTGTCTAGTTAGAAAGACATCTCAACAGGGAGGCTGGTAGGTGGCCTGGTGGTTAAGGCACTGGACTCCCACATGGCCAACCACGGTTTGAGTCTCAGACCTGGTGGCTTGCTTTCTCTCTCTCTTTTGCTCTGTTCCTCTCCTGTCAAATAAAAATAAATAAATAAGTATATAAATAAAGATAAATAAAATATTTTTTTTAAAAAATTCTACTTAAAAAGACATCCAAACAGGTAAGCTAAGTAAAACTGGCCATGTTACCAGAGGGAGAGAACCAAAATACGACAGTCCACAGGATGGAATAGGAACTGCCTGAAAGAACCAAGCAAATGCTTCTCAGGGTAGATGGGAGAAATGTGTGAAGGACATGAGATTCCACTGAGAATCTGCAGATATGGGGCAGACACTACATTGTGGGGATCTCTTCTGAATTACCAGCAATTCCTCTAGAATATTTGAAAAGTGAGACTGCCGTTTATTAAATACAGTGTAGTGTCTGTGACATGTTTAGTAACGTCTGGTAAAGTGAAAACAAAAAAGACGATCAATTCTTGGATTTTTCTCTCTTAAATCTAAGTCTCTTATCTTTAGAAAAATAGATATTCTATTAGGTCATCAGAAAAGTCATATTTTCCCATGCTTTTCTATGAAAAATGTGTCATGACTTTTACAACGACCCAGTAGTAGGAAAATCAATGGCAGTAATACGTATGAATATGACTGGTTCCTTCCCTTTCTGTGTTCTTTCTACACTGTCTGAGTAGAGTTTGGCACCTTAATTCTGTTTTTCTTTTTTAAGAGATATTTTTGCTGTAGGATTTGTACACTTGCTGGAGAGACAGACAGAGACAGGGAGACAGAAAGTGAAAAATCACTCCCCAAGAGAGATGACTAGGCTGCATTCCCTTCTCCTCCATTCTCCTCTTGAGCTTTTGGGCACTTACACACATGCACCTGGCATGATTTTCAAGGCACTGGGTTCAGGACTCAAACCACAGTTGACCATGTGTGAGTCTAGCACCTTAACCGCTATGCCACCTGCTGGCCCCGGCACCTCAATCCTTACCAACCCTTCTCTCCCATTTACAGTAAAGATTTATCCCTTATTTTATTCGTTAAAGTTGAAGACATGAAGTTTGTGGAAAAAAACCTTACAGGGCCGATTTTCAGAAAATGTCTCATTCCTTGCCTTCTCTCAATTGTCTGGAGGCTCTGCGTTAGGCTAACTGTTCATCAAATTAAAAACATTCACTGAATTTCAAATGCATAAGCATTTTATAGATATGATTATCTGATTCACTGATTACAGTGAAAATTCTGATTACAGTAAGAACTAGTGCCCATAAGTGAAAAGTTAAATGACTAAGCAGGTTGTAAGCAAGCACATGGGAGATGCTAAGAGAAGACCCACCAAAGGCTGGGGACAGGACAGTGTGTCCATGGATGATGAAGGGTCCACAGATACGGGGCTATCATGTAAGTGAATAAACACAACCCAAAGATCACTATCTGGGCAACGTGAACTGGCTGAACATCGAGAAGACACTGTACTCTTCTGCAGAAAATAATGGAAGGGGCAAGCAGATTGTGTAGCGGTTACATCACTGGTCTCTCACATGGCAGGTCATGGTTCAAGTCCCAGACCTGGTGACACACATCAGGTGTACATGTGTGCATGCCCTAGATCCTGGGAGGAGAATGTAGGAGAAGAGACTGTGGTGTGGTCATCCCCGCTAGGGAGTGATTTCTCACTTTCCCTCTCACTCTCTCTCTCTGGTGACCTCACACTTCCTAAGGCAAAATCCTCTAAAAATAAGAAAAGAATGGAAAATCTCTGGGGTGACTTAGCAGAGAAGAAACAAGAGGAGATTCAGAAGTATAGAAAGGCACATTTCAAATTTATAACAGGATAGTGTCTCTGTGACTTTAGAAAAAAAAATGACCCTCCTGTTACTCACTTGCTAATGAAGTCATTGAATTCTGCTGACCAGAGTTCAGGTTGCCTTAGTTTTGGGGGTGGATTCCTGGAAAAATAAGAGTCAAGGTTGGCTTGTGTACACTGGTCAATCTGCAGAAGGAGAGGCAGAGCTGGCTAGCTAAATGCACGCCTGCAGCCACAGACTCTGCCCGGATGCAATCAAAGAATGCCATCATTTTCCAATTCAAAGGCAGATAATTAGTCATTAATCATTCTTCATACAAAATGACAGGTTCCTTATTTCTCTGAAAGCTCTTAATATATGACCCAATTTTTCTAGCTGTTCATTTTTTTCCCCCTTTAAAGAACCTTCTTGCTTTTACCGGATAGCCCTAGGGGAAAACATCAGTACTTAGCAGAATAGAAACAACGAATTCTGGGGGAATATTTTTTTTTCCCTAGGAGTACTGTAGAAGTTGCTCAGGAATATACACAGAGGTGACCTAAACGGAGCATTGTTTGGAATATGGAAAAAGGAGCACAGAAGAGTACCTTCAGGAGTTGTTCTTTTTTTGTTAGGAAACAACTGTTAGGCCATGTTACAAAGGAAGGAACTGGAAAACATTATTAGGTATAAAGCTCTGAATACCACTTAAAAGATTTTGTTATTAATTCCTTTTGTTTCAAGCTGAACAAATCTTTTCTTTTTTGGCATGTTCGTGAATACCAATGAACAACGTTTGGAAACGAGGCTGATCTAACTCGGTAATCAAGCAACATTGATCAACCATGATAGCTGAATTTGCTGAAGTGCTGCTTTATGTTCATTCTAACAGCTCTTTGTTTTCGCTAGTGGAATGGAAATACTTTGTCTTCAGTTCTGTGGTACTCTTTAAATAGCTTATAATGAAATTAATGTACAGTTTGTACAGGCTCATTAAAGAAAACTGCTACCCCAGATCACCACACAGCTCATTTCACGATCCTTAGGACAATTTGAAGAGTGCTGATTTGTACATTGTAAAAAGCAATTCTTTTCCACAACAACCTCGTTCTGTTTAACTTCCTAAAATTTTCCTCTTATGAGATGTATTGGGTTGCTTTAGAGTAGAGCAAAGTTTTGATGATTTCAGAATACTCCGAACTGGGTAGCTTTTCCGATTCATCATTTTTATCTCTCTCTACAGTCGGTATTTAATCACATCCTTGGTTCATGTGACAGCATCACCAAGAATCCTAACGTTAGTCAGAATATGGTGATGCACACCACAATGAAAATGGCTGAGGATGTACAGCCTTCAGCTCACAAAGTTCATGGCAGGAGGAACTAGAAAATACAGGTTTTATTTTATTTTTCCTGTTGTCCTTAAATATAATGAAATATCTTGGACTGGTATAGAAGATTTTCTTTTCTGTTCTACAATCTTGTTTCCTCTTCTACCAAATAACCTGTATATTTCATAAACAGTAAGACCTGAGATAAAATTGAAATTTTTATATAAAGCATGATATATATATGTGTATTATAATTCAGAATACATACACAATACTATGCACTGATTTAAATTTGTTTGGTGTGAAAATAAACTCATAGTTTAATTCTGTTTTTCCACAAATATCTTGAAGTCTGCTTAGAGATAAGACAGAAAATTCCAAGGTAAAACTAAACACAAATTCAAATGTTTTGATCATATGATAATTTAATTACATGCCAAATTTTCCAAATAGACCCATTTGGAAATTAATATAACATGTTGGCATGCTTCTTTAGGGTGAGAGCACTTCCCTATGGGCTCTGTACAGACATATATAAAATGTATTTAACGAGAGCTTGGTAACAAACCGTAACATACTACCCTACCACTATGCCTTGTCATCACAGTTTCTGTGTACATCCCGTTACAATTAACAGACCATCCAAAATCCTTAAGGTCTTCAAAAATGATATATCTATAATAAAGCTGGAAAGTCTTTTCACATTAGTTTTCTGCAATACCTAGGTGTTAATCTGTATATATACACACACACACATATAGAATAGTGTTTAAAGAAATTGGTAATAGGATAAGCACAGGAAAATTTGTTGATACACGCACTTAGGTGATGGGTCTACCTAGATAGTAAAGTGCTTTCATGGCTCTAGAAATGTGATTCTTCTAAATTCATTGTTTATATTAACATATTCAAAATATTAATATATATTTAAAATTGTTACTTTCTCAAAAGTTTTGTTTATAATCTTAAAAATAATAATATTGTTTTAAAGTTCTGTAAAAAATAAGTCTTAATACTAAAAGAAAATGACTAGATTGATTGGTAGGCAAAGCAAAGCAAATCGCTGTCTCACTGACCATGGGTCACGCTGCCTCACTAACTCTTTAGGGGCTGAATAGAGTGAGAAGAATTGCTATTTTATAAAACCACATCCTAGCACAAGAGAGAAAAATACACTGATTTGAAAGCTTTTTTACTTAGACCAGGGAAAAACAACTACTGAACAAATATAGTGTCTTGGAAGAAGTAGAATAATATTCTGGGTCACTCTGTTCCCAACTTGTTGGAATATATCCATAATGAGCTTGATGAACAGACAGGGGCTGGAAAATGGGCTGTACATACTGACTGCAATGTCAGCTGTCTGACCTTGGTATTTTGAAGAGTGCTCTCATGGGATGCAGGTCAGCTAGTGGAGGGTCTCCATCCCCCAGCTCAATAGCTGTGATACCCAGGGACCAAGTGTCACATCTGGCATCATAAGTGGTATCCAATTGCTGTTCACATGCAATCACCTAGTAGAAAACAACAACGAGGTAAAGTTTATGACTTTAACAAAAATGTTGAGAAGACGGCATATTTAAACTGGTGAAGTTTGAAAGCTATAAGTAAATATAAAGGTAGTAACTCCAGAGGAGAATGAAAAAACATATTATTAGTAGTGATAATGTTTTTATTGTAACAATAGATAATACCTTAGCAAGTTCAAAAATATAAGGGACAAAGCTTATGAAAAGGAACATCTTTGAAAATGTTAAACCAAAAAAAAAAAAAAAAAGAAACAGTGTCTTGAATGAGAAGAGATGGACCCTAATACATAGCTAATGAAAGACAAACACTGTATGTCCCTGCTCAACATATAAAGAATGTCTGCACTCTGGCAGAAATTGAAACTCAAGACACAGAAGTAGAGTGGGCAACTGTAGATACCAGAGACTGCGTAGGGGGCTGTGTGGGAGGGGAAAACAGCATTTAACACATAGGAATGCATGTAATCAAATAACAAATTATAGAATGGTATGATACAACAGATTTAAAAAAAAGAGATGCTGTTGCCAATTTTTAAAATGAGAAATAAAAAACCAGTAGAATGTAATGTTATTTGTTGAAGACAATGAATGTGACAATATTCTTGATTTGATTATCACACACTGCATGCAAGTTTTGAAAAACAATATTGTACCTAACAAAGATGTACAATTAAATGCAAATAATAAATTATAAAAATAAATTTTGAAAAGTTTCATGAAGAAGAATGATTGTACAGTTGTAGTCACTCAATAAACATTTGATGAAATAAGAGACATTCATCTGGATAATGATAAAGAACATATCTTTAAGAATTAAAAGTAAAAGAAAGAGAGAAGTAAAGAAAAATAAACTTGAGGGTTATTAACAGATGGCCTTTACTTTTAATGGCAACTAGAAAACAAGTAGACACAGGGAGTAGAGACTATTTTGGAGTAATGCCAAAAGGTTTAAATCATTAATCTAAGTAAACTGAATGAAAACAAACATTGATGAAGATTTACCAACATCTTAACTGAAGCCATGCTAAATTGTAAAACTATAACCAGGGTTAAAAACATGTCACTAGGGGACAGCAAGTGGTGTAGCGGTTATGGGGCTGGACTTTTACGTGACCAACTATGGTACAAATCCTGGACCTGGGAGTTTGAAAATCACACCGGGCTCATGTGCATGTGTGCCCAACATCTCAAGAGGAGAATGGAGAAGGGATTGTGGTGTGTCCATGCATGCTTGAGGTGATTTCTTACTTTTTCTCTCTCTGTCTCTCTGGTGAGTACACATGTTTAATAGCAAAAAATCTCTCAAAACAACAACAACGCACACAAAAACATGTCGTTAACTAGGCCAGCTGGTAGCACAGTGGTTACAGCAGCTAGATCCCACATGGCAAACTGCGTGGTCCTAGTCTTGAACCCAGATGCTTGAAAACTACACCAGGCAAATGTGCATGCCCTGTCCAAAATCCTGGATGGAGAAATGGAAGAGAAGGGATTATAGCATGACCATCTCTCCTGGGGAGGGTGCTTTCTCACTTTCTCTCTATGTTTCTCTCCAGTGAGCACACAGCAAAAAAAGTTTTTAAAGATCCCTTCATATAAATACATATATACATCTAACTACCTATATATATATTCTGGGTCTATATATACAGAGAGAGGGAGAGAGAGAGAAAGAATATAGTTTCCCAACTTAAAGTCAGTTATGATGGGGCCATCATTTTACACTTCTCAACTTTTCCTACCAAAGTATTTTTGATGTCATAGGAGAGTTTATCACTGAAATCACAGCATATAACCTGAAGTATCGGGAGTAAGCATAAAAGTTTTCAGTTTTTTTATTTTTAAGTTTATTTATCCATTTCTTCCAAGGATGAAAGAAAGAGAGAGAGAAGGAGAGAGAGAAAGAAGACAGAAAAAGAGAGAGATCCGTAAGGGTCTCCATGCGTGATCCACCCCTGGACTCAGCCAGTCTGGCATATTCAGGGAGGTCCTCAGACAGGAACCTAGGACGTTTCCCAGACAAGTCCAGTTGTGTTACCTCTGCACCACTGCTTGGTCTTCAAATTTTACATTAAAGTTAATGTGGATGGCCTGGTGGTGTTTCAGTGGCAAAATGCAACACTCTGAGATGCCAACACACATGGCAATGTTCCAGCTTTGTGTTTGGAGACCTCCTCGAGTATGTTAGGCATGTATACCACCATGATCCAGGGCTGGCTGAGGCTGGAGGTAGATTGCAGCATCAAAACCCTGTTGGTGTTGCTGTTTCTCAGTCTCTTTTGCTCATGGAAGAAATAAATAATAAAATTCATGTGGCAAAATATTCATAGCAGCCTTACTCCTAATAGCCAAAAAGTGGCAACAACCTAAATGTCCATCAGCTGATGAGTAGGTAAACATAATGTAGTATATACACATAATAGAGTATTATTGAGCCATTAAAAGCAGTGAAGTATTGATACATGTAACAATGCAGATGAACCTCAGAAACAAAATCAGCAGCAACGAAAACTATGCTATGTAAAAGAATTCTGACTCAAGGGCCATTATATATTATGATTCCATTTATTGGGTCATCAGAAAAGTCATGATGCATATTTGCATAGAAAAACATAGAAAAATATATCAATAGAACATAATATATGAATATCCAGTATAGGTAAATCTAGAGATGAAAAATAGAGTCATGATTGTCTAGGGGAATTTGGAATATGAGGAATGACTATCAATGCGTACTGGGTTTCTTTTAGGAGGAACTAAAATAATGTGAACTTTGAATGTGGTGATAGTTGTACAACCCTGTGTATATACACTAAAAATCTTAATATTGTACATGCTAAATAAGTGAATTACATGGTATGTGAATTATATCTCTATAAAACTATTAAAAATAAATACATTTATATGAACTTTCCATTCTATTGTCTTAGCATAAAAATGTGTTCTGTACAACTACTTATTTCTTTTTCTTTTTCCTTTCTTTTTCATTTTCATCTTTGTTTTGCCAGAGGGTACATGTGATAACCAGGGAGCAGGGTAAGAAATTGCATGTGCTCTCCGGCAGAAAAAGAAAAAGAAAAAGTTAAAAAATGAGGTCTATTTTTTCTCCACTTTTCCATCCCATCAGGATTTGGGGCATGCAAGCACATGCACCTGTGTGTTTTTTCAGGATAATACATTATTTTATGGCTTTACACATGTGGTCTGGGGTCATTGCCCCATAGGCACAGATGAATGTAGGTCCTAGTTAGCTTAGGACATTCCTAATTCATTGATACTTGCTATTCTAGAATAATTATAAATAACATTCCCTTTTCCCTCTCTAAATTAACTAGTACAGTACAGTGTATGTTACCAACCACAGTCACTATTTTCTTTGACCTCTTCATTCCAGCACACATATGCTCCAGTTTGGAAAAGGTGGCTTTATGTAATCAACAAATAACACCTTTGGTATAGATTTAATTAGAAAATGCAAAATCAATAATTTCACTTTTCAACTAATTGATACCAAATTATTTCATATTAAGTGCTTTTACTAAATGTTAAATTTAAACATATAATACCTTTATTACTATAAATCAACTTATGAAAAACATAAAGCTAGAAAGCTAATGATTATATTATTTATTATTATATTAATTATTAATATATGTAAAATGTACTGTTTGGTATATAATTATACTATTATTAACTCTCAAAATTTTGTAAATTTTCAAAACTCATTTTGAGAGTTTCTTATTCAATGTTTTTGCTTTTGCAATTAATTATACTTTCTATTTTTATTCTAAGATTAATCCCTATTAAATTATTTTAATCCACTGGATTTTTTTAATTTCTAAAAATTATTTGTCATCTCTTTGTGTTTTATATTAACTTTACATTTAACTTTTTTTCAAGTAATAATTTGTATTCAAACAGAAATAGTACCCCAGGAGTTAATCCTCAAATCAATTTAATTCTAAGATTCTGCAATATTAATATAGTATTTAAATTACTTCTCCTCTCTTCACTCCCTAGAAAATTATAGATAAATTTTAGAGCTTTTCCCAATGGTTGTTTGTGTTTTATATTAACTTTACATTTAACTTTTTTTCAAGTAATAATTTGTATTCAAACAGAAATAGTACCCCAGGAGTTAATCCTCAAATCAATTTAATTCTAAGATTCTGCAATATTAATATAGTATTTAAATTACTTCTCCTCTCTTCACTCCCTAGAAAATTATAGATAAATTTTAGAGCTTTTCCCAATGGTTGCAGAGAGTTCTCAAAAATAAGTATTCTTTATTGGTAAACATAATTAAAAAAACTAAAGGCATAAATAGTGACTGTGGAGAAAACAATGTGAGTCTTCAAAACTTTTCCCTTAACTATTTTAGTAGTTTTACAAATTTCCAAAGGTAGGGGTGAGAAGAATCTAGCAAAGCTGAACATAGCCCTCAGGTAGAGGGACTCCATACGGAAAGCAGCCATATAGGTTAATGGACCTGAATCTGATCTAACAAAGGTGAGAGGGTCTCACAATATTTCTATTACAATCTTTTTAAATTTTTTAAATTAGTTTTTGCCATAGAGCTTGTGTACTCGCTAGAGATAGAGATGGAAAGAAGGAAAGTAAGAAATCAACACCTGTGGGGATGGCCAAACTGTAATCCCTTCTCTTCCATTCTCCTCTTAGGATTTTGGGCATGCGTATGCATGTGTGCAGCATGATTTTCAAGCCACTGAGTCTGGGACTCGAACTGTGGTCAGCCATGTGGGAGTCTAGTGACTTAATCACTACACTGCCTACTGGCCCCTTCTATTATAATTTAAATCCATGTAAATATCACTTATATAGATACATACTCAGCAACTAAAAGTAAAGTTAATGAAAACTTAAGGCTGTAAGTAGTTTCTCTTTCTCTTTTCTGATTCACTCATTCCTTCAATCTTTCGTTCATCTGTGTATTCATTCACAGCCCAGTTAGTGGACACCTCTTGTGCAAACACATGCAAACATCTCAAGTGAAAATATCACAAGTAACATTTTCTTCTGGTATACTCCAAAACACTTATGGAGATAGAGTACACACAAAAAGGAAAGTCAGGAGGGATCAGATATTCCTTTGAACTCTGACCTCAGGAGCCATCCAAAATGGTGTTCCTACAGATGTGTTCCTACGGTGCCTGGTGCTGGTGAGCTGGGCAGACACACCTGAAAGGGTATACTCCAAAACACTTATGGAGATAGAGTACACACAAAAAGGAAAGTCAGGAGGGATCAGATATTACATTTGCCTCCTTTGAACTCTGACCTCAGGAGCCATCCAAAATGGTGTTCCTACAGATGTGTTCCTACGGTGCCTGGTGCTGGTGAGCTGGGCAGACACACCTGAAAGGAAAATCAGAGACTTACTTCCTGCATTAATTACTCATGTGAAAAGATTCCAATTGTGATTTTTTAAAAATAAAACAAATTAATATTAAAAGTATATTCCCTCAAACCTGACACTTGATTTAAACTTCACATTAAAGGATCTCTAAGCTCCCAGTTCTGGTTTATTTCACAGACCCCATGTCTTATCACATTTAAAGACCTTAAGTCAGGATTGCAATATAGCCAAAAATACACAGTAGTCTGTTCCTACTTCTCACACCCAAATTCTACCCCTCTGTAAAACCCTATTTCAAGTGTAAGCTCTCCTTTGCTGATGGCTGGAAAGGACTTCCTCTTTACATTCCTCAGGAAATGTACACAGAATGATGCTGATAAGAGATTTTTAGGAGTGCAGCATGTGATCCAAGGAAGACCATCGGATTCTTCCTTGGAAATGTGACTCTTGGGTGCTCACCCTCAGAGAAGGAAAGTAACTAGAGCTGAATGAAACAATAGCAGGGACCTGAGCTCCTTCAGGTAAGGAGTTCTCTCCTGAGGACTAGGGCTCACATAGTTCTGTTCTTGGGCCAGAGCATCCAGCTTCTTTTTGATTTTGTAAGCCAGCCAGTGTTGTTTTCAGTTTCCTTGTCCAAATAGTTTGAGTAAATCTCTGCTGCTTAAAGTCAAGAAATCCTGACTAATACAAAACCCCAACGATTCTACTGATACATCTAAAATAGCAATTTAACAAGGGCAAGAGTCATTAAGAAGTTAACAACATCTCATCATTAGGTTCTATACAGAGATTACATTGCATTTATATATTTCTATTATCATGAGACTGAAAATCTTCCAAGGCAAATTATCTTGCCTCTAAGGTTTTTTTAAATTTTTTTGTCTGTTTTTTCTTTTCTTTCTTTTTTTTTTTTAATTTGCTAGAGAGTGTGGGTGTGAGAGAGAAAGACACACACACACACACACACACACACACACACACAGAGAGAGAGAGAGAGAGAGAGAGAGAGAGAGAGAACTCTCCATGGAGAATGGTCATGTTATAACACCTTCTCTTCTAATTCTCCATTCCATCAGGATTTGGGGCATGCACACACATGCACACAGTGTGTTTTACAAGCAACTAGGTCTTGAAACACAGTTAGCCATGTGGGATCCTACCCTATCCTATCCCAGTCTCAGGCTGGCCTCAGCCTCCAAGCTGTTTAATCAAACACCCGAACAATAGAAACTTCTGGGCAAGTATAATACATATAGATACAGAAATATTCTCTCTATATTTATCAGTAGGTTAATATTTACATTATGAAACACACAAATGAAAGTCACTTTAAATAATGAAATTGGAACAACCGTTGTTATAGGAATATGACTGTTTCTCCCTGAACCTCAGTGATGATTTGTACACACCCTGGTATTAACTCCCCCTTCAAAGACCATTGAAGTAATGAGTTACTACCCCTTGGAATCTCATATAGGATTATTATTTGGTGTCAAGACCCTACAGAAAGAATGTTTTATACATGGTTCCTGTAGGAGTAAACTATGACAGCAAGAAAAATTCAGTTCAGAATATGAGGAAGAAAAAACATCCTAAATTAAGCAAAAACTGCAACTGAGTAGGGCAAAAAAAGCCTTCAATCTGAGAATATTGGATGATTATTACATTGAAAATATGCACAAAGAATGATAGAATGACAGAGAAAGACATTTGCTAGATTTCACACGAATTATGACAGAATGACAGAGAAAGACATTTGCTAGATTTCATAGTTTCTGAGTCCCTCTGCGGTATTGTTAAACTTCAGGATTCTTTTACTGACACAACCTAATAGCTTCAAAGCTGGAAGACAACTTCATGGTCATAAAGTCTACCGTGTTCATGTTCAGGTTAGTGAACTTGAGGTGGATAAAAAAATTCACTTTTCTGAGGACAAACAACATTTTTACTTAATAGAAATTCCCACAAAAATAAAACAGTTAAGAAGATAGAAAAATGAGAGGAATTCTTTTAAAAGTGATTCATATAACTTTAAAAGACAACAGGGACCCAAACTATGAATCCAGGAACCCTAGGAAGTAAAGATTTGGGAAAATCACCTTGTCCAGAGAGTAACTAATAGAGTAAGTCACCAAAGTAAACAGTTACATAATCATCTCAAGAGAGAAGAGGTGGAGGAGTGGAAAATTCCAGGCAGAAAGTTGGGATAATGAGAAGATAAGGAAAGGAACAGAAAGCTGAGAAGAAATCGGGGCTCAACAGAAAACAGGCTAGAAGAGAGGGCAATTACCATTAAAAGTGAAAGCCACAGAAACATTACAGGGTCTTGTGTTAATGACTCTTCAGCCTTTGCTTCGGTAGGGAATTTTCAGGCAATTTAAGACCTATTTAATAAGGCTTCCTGGGCTATTTGGTGGCTGGACAGCCACCCCATTCCCTAGTGCCCAGTTCTGTTTATAGGGAGAAAAATATACAGGCTTTATATTTGCAATTAAGACACCTTTTGGGGTCTTAAGGAGACAGGAGAAACATCAAATATGTAGTTCAAAGATAACTTCAGGGAGGTTGATTTTCCATAGCAATAAAGCAAAATCCTTGACATCTCAGTAGAGCAAAGGGAAAAGCATGTGATATTTTTCCTGTTTTACAATAAAAACAAAATACTGCAGGAATGAGAATTAAAATGATAAAAATAGAGAATTTTTTCAACTTAAAGGGGCCATGACATATTTTATACCATTTAATATTGTCATTTTCTTGATGAGGTTAAGCTAGTGTGATAGTTAATTACATGTATCAACCTGTTAGGGCCACAGAACACAGATATTTGGTCTAAGCTTATTGTGGATATTTTTGTGAGTTTTTTTTTTTTTGGGGGGAGGGAGGGTTAAATCAGATTAACATTGAAATAAATGTATTTTGAGTAAAGCAGCTTATCTTCCATAATGTGAATGGTCCTCATCCAGTCAGAGGAAAGCCTTAATAGAACACACTGACCTCTCCAGGCAAGAAAACCTTCCACCAGCAGACTGCCTTTGGATTCAAACTGCCACTCCTCCCATTGCAGATTTTGGACTTGGAAACCTCCACAATTTAATGAGGTAATTTCTTAAAATAAACATCTCTTTCTCTCTTAATATCTCTTTCTCTCTTTCTCTCATCTTTTTCTCTCTCTATTGGGGCTGGCAGGTGGCATGGGGGTTAAAAGTTGCTAACTCCTATATGGCCTACCGTAGTTTGAATTCCAGACCCGGCATCTTTCTTTCTCACTTTACCTCTCTCCTTTTATGTCTTTCTCTAGCCAAATTAAAAAATAATAATAATAAATATTGTTAAATGAAAATAATTCTTAAAAATATCTATCTATATAGTATACATACATGTATACACATAGATTAAGTATACACATACACAAACACACACATACACACACACTCATATACACATTCATTGGTTCTGAGTCTTTGGAAAAATCTCTGAGGATAGTTTCCATATTTTTGTATGATTAAAAATTCTTAGGGTCATTCTCTCAAAACCACAATGAACTACAATAGATTTGTTACCATTTTTCCTTCATCAAAAATTACTATTTTATTAGAAACCTCAGTTGCAGAAACTTTCAAGGATTTAAAGGGCTAACATCCTTTCTTTTTTCTATTCCTTCATTATTCTCTTTTTCCCTTTCCAGGAACCAGGCAATTAAAGTCTATGCCATTCAAAAGCAACCACAGATACAAAGAAACTTAGAAAGTCACCATACACATTCAGGGAAAGA